AAAAAAAACAGACTAGAAGTTAATAGGGAATGGATAGTGAAGAGATTGACGCCATCTCCTCTGGGCCAGCGCAACAGTCCCGCCGCTCCCTGTGGTTGGGAGGCCAACAACGTGCCACCATCTTCATGATCGATGATCGGGCCAACTGTTGGTTTCCGTTGCCGGCAGCAACTGGCTGAAGTCACTTGCTGATAGAAGGTTGAGGCAGTTCAATGGTCACTATTTCTTGATGCGTCAGACGGGGGTTCCTTCCAGTAGATGCTGCAGAGGGTTTTTACCACCTTTGTCCCCTTCCTTGCCCTCTGCCCTTAGCCATTCCATCTTCTGCTGGTGCTGCCGGACAGCATCAGCCACACGGGCATCAATCATGGCTTCTGTCAAAATGCCATCTTCTGAGGCATAGGCTGCAGCCTGAGAAAGGAACATTAACAGTTATAAGAAACGAAGAAAACCACACTATTCATTCAAGGCCTTAATATTTGCAACCGATATTGTACTTTTAAAAGCATTGCTAAAACTGTTTTAAGACCTGTAGGGTTTTTATTGCAGTCTGTATGCTGACTGGGGACAGTTCTTCCAACTTCATGTTCTGGTGACATAGTCAACAGGATAGGAACTCTCTCCAATCAGGACACCGACAGCAAATAAAACCCAACAAAGGTTTTTAACTCTTTTTCCATGCTACAAAAGGAAAAATAAAATGATAGATAGATATTATATCTATCCATCTGCTAGAGAGGAGGAGTGGAGCTCCATGGGCTTTGTATTACAATTTGTACTCCCGTTGGGAGAATCAACATTTGTCTTGGGGACCATTCTCATCTAGACTAAGTGATGGGAAATACTATATTTTACAGCAGCCAATGAAACAGAAGATGAGGGGAAATCCTGTTCTGGAGACAACTCCCTGCACTCTCTCACCTCCTGTCATGTTATGACACAAATAAAAAAATAAAAATTAAAAGGCTCCCCAATAGGATAGAGGAAAAAAAAGGCCTAAAGAGGATTTCATTACTACCTATTGTATCCAAAACTAAAGCCCAACATGTATTGTAATACATACACTTTAAATAAAAGGGTAACCCAGGGCTGGACAAATCCCGGTAGCCATTGCTCCTTCAAAATTACAGCGGGTGCCCAACATCTGTGGTTTTCTTTGGCTATTGTCAATAGAACTGGTCCCAAAAAATATCTTGCTGGCTCCTGAATTCCATATGAAATTTGTCCACCCCGTTATTTCCTAAATGAGCTTTTTTTCAACATCAAAAGTTCTCTCTATGTGGAACTTTCAAAATACACATAAGGAAAAAACATAACACGAGCAGCCCCCCTCCCTATGCACAGTCTGCACGGTTACTGATCCAGGGAGGAAAGCCTCCCAGCAGTGCAGAGAGCCTAAAAAAGTATGGGGAGCTCTCCCATCCCTCCTTGTTCTCAATGTGAGACAGACCCCAGATACAGCCAACAAAAGACTAAAGATGGCAACACACATGGCAATTTTTAGTCCATTTCAACCACTTTATCATCATCATCATGGCTCAGGGTGGTAGACCCGCGCACAAAAAGGGATATTTGCTGAGAAAATAATGCCAGCTGCAAGATCTTGCTGCATTTGGCAGGAACAGGAAACACCCGTTATATGAATTACAATACCAAAATATCCCAGTTCAGATTGCTGTTTTCTCCTTAGGCCTTGTTCACACCAAATGCAGAGCAGATCCGCTCAGGTTTCTGCACACGCAGTGCAGTGGGTTGTGCCACGTTTTTGATGCATTCCAGGCCGTTTTTGGTACAGAAAAAAAAAATATATATTTTTTTTAGTTTAACATGGGCTTTCAGTGTGTTCCAGGCATTTGCATGCGTTTTTAATGCGTTTGCATGCATTCCAGAGCAGGTAAAATAGGGCTTGCTGCAGTTTTTTCAGCTGCTCTGGATCTGCTCTGCAACTGCACGCTACGATGTGAACTGGAGCAAAAAAATACCATTGGAATACATTGGACGCAGTTTTGATCCGGTCTGCAACTGCTCCGCGCTTGGTGTGAACAAGGCCTCAGCGGGAAAACCTGCACAAAACACTTCCAAAAATGTCCCCTTTAAGTGTGAAAGCTAGAGCAGAAAATATAACCTGCAATGAAGTTCAGCAAAAGAGATTTATTACCCCCCTAATCAGTAATTCTCTTCACCACATTTGCCGAAATAACAATCAGAGCAAGACGGAACTAAGAGGATTACTTTCACAAATTCCCCCTTACTTCATCATGTAAATTGCTGTGTCAGAAGCAGATTGTGTGCCCGACACTCGCAGAATTCCCTCATGAATCCTTCCAGGTCAGATATCGCTGAACAGCACGCAGCTAGAAGTGTGAAAAGGACCAGGCCGACCTCTCTTCCCACACAAAAACAAATTCATAATCTTAAAATGATAGGATTACCTTTGGGCTAGCAGGACTTTGGCTTAATATTCACAGATGTAAAAGCCAATTTGGAAATGTAAAACCTACAGCTGTTGTGGGATTGCAAACCAAAATGCATCTACTCAGTGAATCATACACCCTCCTACCTCTCAAGGGTACCCTGCCAGATATTGAAGCTTTGTCCACCACCACCAAGTAGGGGACCCCAATAAGTGCCATATAAAAAAATATATACACAAAAATAAAAATAAATATATACATATACATACATATATATATATATATTACACACACACACACACACACACACACACACACATAAATATATACACACACTTCATTTAAAAATACATGTAATGATTTTCTTTATTACATTTACTGCTATAAATTCTTAATACAGGCCTTCAGCATGACTAGAGAGACAACATGCTGAATGGAATGGCCTTCGTCAAAGGAGAAAAATGTGATCCACTGCATGAAAGTCATTATGAACCAATTTACTGACACTTTTGCCAGAAAGTGTATACGTCTTCCCATGCCATCTTATTTTTCCTCCTTGGTGTCAAAAGTGCAAGGGGGCCACGACTGTCTGTGCAGATTGAGCTTCAGGATACAAATGACATAGAAAAGATGTGACAGGCCTTCCCAAGCTGAAAATAGGTGTTTGCATCCAGTGTATCAATGTGATGTGTGGTGCCTTCTCCCCACCCCAACACTGCAGCACGAGAGAGAATAAAATGAAGGTGGTATTCGTTGCCTTGTATTATATACCACTGCTATAATGAAAAAGTGTTAGGCAGTGCTGTATCTGGTCTAATAAGTGTCTAGTAACATGTAAATAGTCTGTACACCCAATTACTAAAATCTTATATAGTCTTTAACATGGTAAAGTCCCTTCAAGGGTCAGTTTCATTTTTAAATCTGCAGCTTTCAGTATATTACTGTCTGGTGATCCTGTCATTAAGGTCCTGGCTAAGCCACTCCCTGTTATAGGGTGACAACAGTGTCCCCATCTCTTAGTTGTGCTCCTGTTGTCACCATCACATTAGCTTCTGATAGAGACTACCAGCGGCCTTTTAAAAACACACTTGGAACACTTCTGTGTCACTATCTGGAAATCTGCCCTGAGAAAATCAGTCATTGCTGGTCTGCATGTAGACTGAAAAAGGCTACACAGGACCAGCAGCACCGAGATGCAACAAAGGATGAAAAAGAATTAAAAAAAAAAAAAAAATTAAAAAAAAATCCCCCAAGGAGCTGCAAAACAGAGTGCGTTAAGAACACTAGCCAAATCTTTTAGAGCCCTGATGAAGGGGATCTGTTGGCCCCCGAAATGCGTTTTCCAACTTGGTCTTCATAATGTCAGATCTTCAATAAATATTTAAAGACTAAGTTTTTTTGAATGGACAGGGGGGTTATTCAGTTGATTTTCTGGACTTTTTTTTATATCACAAGAGAAGATACTTTAGGGATTTGGAGGTAGTTCTAGTTGTATGTCCATGTCATGTTTAATCAAATACAGTAAACTAGTAAACATTGTAAGGGTTAAGTGCACATTTCAGTCTAGGATGTATAACAAAAAAGAGATATACTCAACTGAACCTCGGAGATGGCTGACTGTTAAAACTGGTCTCTGCAGCCCGTGGCTCTTTCCTACTATCATGCTGTGAATAGTGTACAATGTAACCTGAAAAAGCAGACTATTACACACAGCTGACAGATAGAGGATGGACACTTGACCCTAGAGGAGCCTGTGCCCATCTGAATTGTCTGCCTGCAGAAGCAGTTAAGGGCAGAGCTAGTGCTGGGCTTGCTTATTAGAATTCCCAGCATGTCTTACAAATATTATTGATTAATTAAAGGGCAATACAAATAAAATAAACTTGCCCTGCATTGGCAGGGTGTCTCTGAAGTGCCAGGGTCTTTCGTTTAATTCCCGCATATCGCGCAGTGGGAACGGGGCCTTAAGGTAAAACCCATGACTGAAAACCAATCTTCACAAACCGAAATTGTGTCTCAGGCTTTCAAATTTTCAGTGAATCCCTCGCATAGTGTCACAACCCCACCAGCCTCTACCCTGAACAATAGATGCCGCTCACTCCATTAACTAGATTAGGATATTTGTTTAGTGCCCTGTAACGCTGGAAGGGTTAAATCGCTGCAAAGGGAATTGTGCAGCCAGTAAAAGTGAACACATGCTCTAGTTAATGAAGGGCCATTTCTATTCATGAATGCCGGGGAAGTTGGAGTATTTACGCTCTGCAGCAATTTCAGTGTAAGCAGTTTTATCTTTGACTCCCGCAGCTGGCAGGTGAAAAGGCTCATCTTCCCCCTCAAACTGCCTTCTTGAGGGATTTTCCAGTGGAGCGGCTGTGTAATGTAGATTAACTGAAAGATTCTTCACCCTTTCATGCCGACTCAAGGTCACAAAGCACAAGGTGACGTGTAGAGGACGATGAAGCACCTAAAGATACTCTTCAGTTAGAGGAGTTCTAAAGTCCCAACATATGCCATCCTGTCATAACCTCAGCACTGTAGGTATAGTAGGTTCTGATGTAAATGGGGGACGGACTCCTAATTGGATGAAGGGGCTCTGATGTGAAGGGGGACCCCCAGTTTGTTCCCCCCTCAATTCCATACCATATCCTTATCTGGGATAAGGGCTTGGTATGGAATTTGGAGGAGCCACACGTTACCCTTTACATTTTAGACTGGGGTGCCTCAAGATTTTGTATACTTCTAAAGTGGGTTTGGCCTTACTCTAGTCCAGCACCCTTACATTTTTTTAGGTTTTTTGGAAGCACTAACCTAAAAAAAGGTTGTCCCGACTGAGATAATTTAGCTGATCAAGTCATACGATGGTTATTAGTCTAAAACTGGCCATACATCTATAGTTTATCGTTCAATTTCTTCCGTGCCCTCATCGAACCCTCGTTCGATTTCTGCTCGAGTACCCCATCGTGCACAGACCAATGTCGTTTCGATAATCGTTCGTTA